AATTGGATACACCGGAAATTTTCTAAATTTCTTCCGGTTTAAGGACGCTTGTTATTGTTTACATTAGATCACCCATCCATGTATAGATATTTCGTATGAAGAAATCTTACATCTTATATGACACCCGGAGAAGAGTGTCATATAACTTTATAAGTGGAGTCAAAATAAAGTTAAATGAAGTCTCACAATAAAGTCAAATTGTCAATTTTTTAATGAGACTCCACTTCCAAAATTTACTAAGCAGTTATACAAATAAGTGGAAAGTGGCCTTCATTTTTTCAGAAAAATTTTTTAAGTTAATAATCAATCCTATTAAACTGACTGATCTAAGCAATTTCTAGTATTTATAATAAGCAAAATGTTGCTCTCTCCTTAGCGGAAAAAAAGGACCACCCTGAATAACTTTTGAGCTAACAATCGGATTTTCTCGTTCTAGGACTCAATATTAATGGCTCTATGGGCGACCTTAAGTATGCTAATTAATATGAGCAGAAGATTTTTAAGTTACGAAATCAAACAGAAAAACGCACCTTATCTGAATAAACATAAATTTTTTTTTTGTTGATGGACTCGGATTTCTGACCTCCAAAATATAGGTGGTAGCCACAATCTGAAAAACATGGCCCCAATAGTTTGGTCAAGAGAGCGCTAGAAAGTTAGGACTCCTTCATGTTAATAATTTTACTTTTTGCATTAGAGAACTTTTAAAGCGAATTGAAATTTTTTACGCACAATTATAAAATTCAGTCACGCAACTATGCAAAAAAAAAACTTTTAGTAAATATTTATTATTGCTATTTAAGAATGGTCGAAGAAATTTTGAATTGTATAGTATAAAATTTTTTGCATTATTTTAAAGTATGTAATTTTGCATGGCAAAATACAAAATTTGAACGAAATTAGTCTTAATTGGATTACAAAATAGGTCAGATACTGAAAATTTTATTTTTCAGGAACAATTAAACCGATTTTGTATTTTGGCATGTAAAATTACAAACTTTAAAATGATGAAAAAAAATTGTATACCTTACCATTCAAAATTATTCCGACCATTCTTAAATAATATAATAAAGTATAATGAATATTTACTATAAGTTAATAAGTTATTTCTTTTACATGGAATTCTTTTTGGATAAACGAACTTAATAATTGTGTGTAAAAATTTTTCAATTCGCTTAGAGAGTTCATGAGATCTAGCGAAATACGCAAAAAGTAAAATTAACGTTAAGGGGTCCAAAATTAGGAGCTCTTTTCTGACCATACTTTAGGACCATATTTCCCAGACTGTGGCTACCCCCTATGTTTTGGGGTCAGAAATTCGAATCCGTCAAAATTCGAACCATCCATTTTAATTATGGAGCCAAAATGGCTGAGGCATTGAAATGCCACTGGTGATTTCTTGAAACCTATGCATTTTCAGATTGATGGGTACCAGCTTGTCTGAGAAATAAAGCTGGCTAGTGATCAAAATCGAGCACATTATCTCTACATGATTGCAAAATGGTGGTGCATTAACTTTTCTGACACTCCTGTCTAGACATTGGGCTATTGCAAGAATAATTTAGTCATTTTCATATAATGGTAATAAAAATCATTTTAAGTCAAATTTATTAAATCAAGAATGACACATCAAAGCACAAATTTTGCTATAAATAAAAATTAAATCCTTCCAGAAAACTAGAATGTTGGTAGCTATGATGATAATCCTAGTGGTAGGAACAGTGCACAAAGTGAACAGTTATTAATTCTTGAATCTTAAAATACCATCATACTGTTCGGAAATTTAAAAAAAGATTTATTATCTCATGATTTTAAATATAATTTCCCCTAGAGCTTGTGGGTGTATCTTGGCAATGAAATTTAAAATATAAGTGATCATGCTTATGCACTATAATGTGTCAAATATGATGAAAATCAAAAAGAGATGCAAAAAATAAGACATGTGTTTTTAAGATGTATAATTAACCAGGGTAGAAAAAAAAATAGAGTGTCAGCAGATTTATGTGGGCAAAATTTTTACCAAACATTAAATATATGCATATGCATAAAAAAATCTTTTTAACTTCCTTAATAGCTGAATGAAAAAATTAGAATTCTGAGTATCAAATAACATCATTGCTTTTTCTTAGTGTGGGGTTTCATCAGTCTTAATTAAAAGTTTTGATTGTTCAAATCAAATATAACTCTTCTTGTTTTGAAATTATTTGCTTTGTCCATCAATAGATGAGAGAATTATGAAAGTTAATATTAATAGAAGAATAAAGAGATATTGAATTCCTATTTAATACGGACCCACTTTTAGAAAAATGAAAGTCCTGGATTCCAAACACTTATAATTTCCTAAGTCTAGAGGAATCACAGAATATATTCTTGCAAATAAATTAAAAATGTAATATGCATGCATAAAATACCAGCTAAACATCCGTCATTGTAATCCCTAGCTAAAAAAAGAATAGGGACTTTTCAAACCGTAATTTATAGTTTTATTTGACTCTCGTAGAAATTATGATTCTTATTCACATAAAGGCACCATAATGCAAAGAATAACAAATTATTTGCCTAATTTCATGAATGAAATAATATACATTGTAATAAATAAAGATAATTGTGACCAATATATTGTGTCCATATTTATTTTAATTAAAGAAAACACAACACTATTGAAGAGTAAATTATTATATTATTTTGTCCTATCATCAATGTACAGGGAAAATTATCTCTGAAACACACTGTCATTACACATATTGCATGCCCAAAGGGCCTATATATCTGATATAAATTTACAAGATGCCCAAGTAGCATCTGTATTTCAGATCATTTCATATTGCATAATGAATTCACACATTCCAGATAGTGCAACTTTTTATTAGATGCATTACCTTCTTTCGTTTTTGCCAAAAGGGCTCAGATCATTTTTGTAATACTGTCAACTCTGTCAAATATTTATATTTACAATCTCAGATACTACTCAAAAAATGATACTGAAAATTTGTTCTTCAAATATAACAGAAAATATAACATATGAATTACAATAGATGAAAAAGGAGATTCACTGTCGCTTACAATAGCATTTAACTAGAGTTTACAATTGTTTCTTTTTAATCTAGGTAACACTTTCAAAACTGATAAACCTAGTTTCAGATCAAAGTATTTAATCATCACAAACATACATTGAACTTGGTTTTTAAGAGTAACCTATCTATTAGCATTAAATATGGCGAACATGAGAATAATGTCATTCATAATGGCAGTGCAATAGTTCTGCAGCAGGACTTAAATACACAGCGAATAAGAGAGCACCTTCTTCGAAATTGATGAAGAAACTAAAGGACAGTAAAAAATTCAATACAAAACACATTCCCAGATTTGTTTTATTACTAATGGCACTGATGACATCGCTATTCTAAAATAGAGTGAACAATCCCACTTGGTAATTTCATTAGTAAATCAAATGGAATAATGGTTTTAATAATCGGTCATATGCATTAATGACAAAAATGCTTGAAGTGATAGATATATATTTCCTGAAAATCTTTTGTTTAAGTCAATTTAAATTATGAGAAGTGGTAAAAGTTGCTATAAAATTTAACAACCTCAGAGAATGAGGTTAGCTTTTTATTGGCTATGGCTTAATGGTAACATAATAAATCTGAAAATGAACAATTGTGCTAAAGATACAAAGGGACAAACATTTTTGCCCTAAGTTAAGCACTTTGTACTTTACAACTTTAAATAAACCACAATTTAAATTTAAAACAAAACTCATTCAAAAATAAGTTTGATGCAAAGTGACTGAGTCATTAAAAGACAATGGAGTTCCACATTTACCTGTAAAGCCAGACCTATAGCCAGTTAAAATTATAAGGAAAGTGTTAATATTTTCTCATAAGTTATAAATCTAAGGACATAGTGGTGAGCTACAGTATTTATTATAATTATATATATTATTTCCAACATGCTTCGAAAATATGTATTTCACAGCATTCTGACAATTAATTACATAATATTAATTTGTTTTTATCTACTCTGTATTTTAAATGTACAATATCAATTTATTCCTAGAATGGAATAGCTGCCACAAATTTTTCTTCCTCTCAATCAAGAGAGTACCTAAACAAACAGATAAAAATTTATTAAAAATTTTGTTCCCCAATTTGTGCATGAACTACCAAAATTTAATCACCTACTAGTTTTTACTTTTCAGCAAGCTTTGAGCTGTTTATAAAGAGAGTTTGAAAAAGTGGATGTATGCAGTTTTTTTAAAATATGTTACTCTAAATATAAATAAATAAATAAAATAACAGGAATTATTAAGAAAATTAAAAAAAAAGAAATACTACAAGCAATAAAATAAGTATAATTTAAAATCCTAAGTTAAGTTATAAATGTTAAAATTTCAAATCCCATTATGAACATTTTCTTAGATTAATATTTTCTCACAAGTTAAATAGCATCTTTTGAAACTACATTTACTTTTCCCTTATGAAAAAGAAATGTAATTTACAAAACTTTTAAAATAATAAGTTGAATTAAAACTATAAAATGTTCTTAAAACACAATTTCATAACATAATAAATTTTATAGATATAAAAATAAAAAAAGTTAAATAAAATAAACAGCTGCTAATAGTTATGGCTGAAAAAAGTAAGTAATATATATTCAGTGCAGGATATTATATTAGGCTAAACGGGTAGAAGCCTAGGATCCTGAGGTCAGTGGGTTTCAAAAATCACCAGTTGTTATTTTTTTTAGAAACATTGGACATAGGTCCCATTACCTTTATTAACTTAGAACCTCATTAAGCTTAAACATGGCTCTGAACACATTTTTAAATACATAATTTACACAGTTGATCAAGTTAATGAATGCAGCTGATAAGTAATTCTTTTTTAGGAACTTGCTCAGCCCAGCTATCACTGTGATGCCTGATTCGCTCAAATACCAAAAGGATGACCAAATGCACATCTCTGGTTTCTGTCGTTTGATAGAAGAATCTGCCCCCAAAAATTAACTGAACCAAAATATTCTGAAGTAGAGGAGTCATCATACACAAAGAAATTAGCTATTTGATAAGCTTCTGTAGTAAGGACCCAAACAGGTACTTTTATTTGGTAGGGAGCTATGGTTTGGGACCAGGGACATTGAAGATTAATGCAATACAATATGTTTAAGTATCAGGAATTTAGTAATGAAGATATCTCATGTTGAATGTCTTTAAGTTCTTGGATCTTTTGAGCCAGTCGTTGATTTAGTTGTTCTAATGCACCTTTTTTGGCCTTGTTGCTTGACTTAGTTGTGTCTAGCTGTTCCTGCAGCCGACTAACACTGCTTCTTAAGCCTTCATTGTCTGCTAACAAAACCTAAAATAAAAATTTATAGACTTAAAAAAAAATGGATGTAAGTATGAGAACCACAATTGCATCTACACATTGTTACAACCTTTGAATGCTGCTACAAAATAAACCAATCACTTCATGTTAATTTTATTAATTTCATGTTAATTTTTATTTACTTATTTTTGTTTCTTTTCTTGAAAAAGTTGGGATGAATAAAAACAATGCTGCATTTGGTATATGAAAGCTTAAAAAGTTTTTAATTTAATAAATCAGAGTTTAACGCTTTTAAGTACAAAGTATAATACAGTCGTCCCCACTTAATCGGATAATCGAATAACCTGCTTATACGAATAAAATTTCATGGAACCAAATCATTTTATATGAAACTAATGTTAAACTTCCCCGTTTAAACGGTTATTTGTTGCTTTTTGATCCTGCTTAATTGCATAAAGAAGTGGTACTGAAATGAAAAATTTTTTTTTATTTTTGAGAAATGTTTCACCAGCTAAAATAGAATTTCCCTTTTTCAGTTAAGATAAAGATACAAGGTGGTCACTTCAATAGGGATTTCTTATTCATTAGGAGGTATTTGGGGTAAAGTTGAAAAATTAATCAAATCCTGCTGCCAGTTATACATTGAAATAAACGAAGGGGGTTCTACCCCTCTTTGACTTACTTCACTCACACATCATTTAGTATGTAAAAAAGGGATAGAGTGATTTGTTTTTAGGTCAAGACTTGTGGTCCCCTCTTGATGCACTATTAGCTTTGATAAGAAAAAGTTTTAAAAACCTAATACACTAGTGTAAAGAGTGTCTTTTTCTTAAGTGGAATAACGGCTTAATCCAGTGAATAATTTTGAGTTGGTTGCAAGTTGAGCGCGAAAAAGAATGATTTAAATTTATCGGAAAAAAACAATGAATCTTAGAAACAATAAATTTCAAAGAAATCCCCAACTAAAATAGCGCATTAATTAGGAATTTCTCAAGTTTCAAAGATTAGAAGAAAAAAAATTCTGCATGTGTTTGAAAGGAATACGCACAAGTCATGAAAATTTTAGTAGAAACTAAAAGGCAATATCTAATTTTATTAACGGGTATAAAAAACAGTCTTCAATTACAGAAATTTTCGGATGGGACCAAATAATATTTTAGTTCCTACATGATACTTTTCACTAACATTGATTTATTTTTATGTAACTTTAAATGACATTTCTTCATGATACTAAGGCAGAAAGTTTTAATTATAATTATTTATTGATCATAAAACTGAGTTTACTTAATCAAAACGCTATACTATGCATTAAATATCATAAAAAAGTAAAATTTCGCAAAAATTCAGAATTTTAGATTGAGTATTGCACTTCCCTTTTAATGGAATAACCCGCTTAATTGCATAGATTTGGCTAGAACCGATGGTATTCCTTTGACTGTATATGATGCAATAATTTCAAATAAAATTTTTAAATTATTTATTCATAATTTTTCCCCCATCAATATGTTCTTCAAGTTATTAGAAAAAAAGCATGCTTCTAAAAAAATGTAAGTGATGTATTGCAGGCTTTGTTTGATGTATTACTTTTTTGATAAATTTTTCTTGATAGCTGTAACTAGGAAAATGAGTTAACTTGAAATATAAGCTGTTTTTATATTTCTGAGAATATGATTAAACAAAATGCTTGTAAACTAGCAAAATGAATCTTGTGTGGAAAAAAAAACATTCTTTACTATTTAATGCCTAACAATATGAGTAACTTGTTATTATTTTTCTTTAAATTAACCAATTTTAATAATTTTTGATGAATTGAAAGATTATAAAATGGGACAAAAGTCAATTTGAAAAAATGAATGTTTCACATTAACTCTTTACTTGCTGGTGTTGAATTTCTGCAACAGTTAATATAAATATGTCTGAAAAATTCACAATTAATAATTTCAGTTTTTAAATTGTGGATAACATGAAAAATATTAATATTTGTTTTGTTCTCTGTAGTGGGTATAATTTGTTCACCAGGAGTTGGCACTTGGCCCCACCTCCTTGGACACAAAGTTAATTTCAGCATGGGGGGAATGTGAGAAAAAAAATCTCTGCGCTTGAATTTGAGATAACCTTTTATGCACGCCAAACGCAAACAGGGATTTTTTTTCTTCAGTCACTTACTTAGCTTTATCATCTGCTATTACACTTTTCGTTATTCTAGCTAGTTCAATATATTTTAAATTTAAAAATTGCTGCTTTCAGAGCATAATATCCCAAAAAGAGCAAATTATTCAACTAAAAGAGAAAAATATAATAAATAATGTTTTGCGAAAACGAAGACAAAGTTTTTGTGTTTTACTATTTTCTTAAAATTTAATAATTATGTATGAGTTTTAATTCTGATTTAAGTACAGTACGTTTTTTTTTTGTTGAAAATATAGTTATTTAATAAGGTAGAAAAGTGAATGAATTTTACGATGGGTATAGCTAAAAATAAATAGTTGTTTTAATAAAGTTTCATTAATGTGTATTTTTGTAAAACTCTATTTGTATAACGCTATTTTTTGAATGAAAAATTATTCAAAAATCTTTTGTAAAAAAAAAAGAAAAAAAAAAGTAATTAAATTCATTATTTACAAGCGTGAAATTACAGAATTAAATTGTACAATTCTCTATTTTAAACTATTTTCCCCCTAAAACTGCTTTACAACAAAATTTATTGGAATAGTAAATTTGCAATTTATCTGGAGAGAAGTTTTGAAATAGCAGATGTTAAATAAAAAGAATTATCATGCATAATGATGTTGCTGAAGATCCTAAATATTACTGGAAATACTTTGAATAACAAATTAAAATACATCAGCATTTAAGAAATAATAAGTTCTTCACTCCATAGAATGTATGAAATATTCTATGTTAAAAAATGCACCTAAAGATGCTGCAAAATAAAGAATTATGTTTGCCAAACAGCAACCTTTCTTAGGATTGTCTACATACTTCTCCCAAAAATAGTGTAATAGTATCATCGGATACCACGTGATGAAGGCGGAGCCAAGTGCCAACTCCTGGTGAACGAACTAAACTGAAATGAAAGCTTTTTTTTGCTGCCGAAATCTGGAAAATAGTTTTAATATAGAGAAGAAAAAAATCAGAATTCAGATTTACAAGTGAATGATTTTAGCTAAGGTCACTCTTTATGAGGACATTCCAGAAATCAGTTATTTGGATCAAGAGAGGGAGGAAAAGGTAATAGGTCTTCTTTTAAATACTGGCAAATGGGTTAATCAGTTATACTCAATCACTGGTGCATTGCCTTAATTATAAGTCCGTACATATCGTTACTGTATTTCTGATGCTATAATGTATGCTCTTTTTTTCATTTGGGAAACCTTTATAATACTTTAAAAAGGTTGTTATGATGCATTTCTTTTATGAAAAATAAAATACTCAGAAAACACTTTTGTTCACACATAAAGTGACTAGATTTGATACATTTTGATAGATAAATTTTGATTTAGGACTAGATAGATTTTGATTAACATAATTCATTTATTTAATAATTTTAAGCATTTCTTAATTAGTTATTATAAAGTTTTTAAAATAAAAAATAAATCTCATGAAAAAATTGATTACTAAGTGCATGATTGCTATATTTAAAATAAAATCGGTTTTACTCTAATTTGTTAAAAAAAAAAAAAAAAAAAAAAAAAAAAAAAAAAAAAAAAAAAAAAAAAAAAAAAAAAAAAAAAAAAAAANAAAAAAAAAAAAAAAAAAAAAAAAAAACTGAAATAAAAAAAAAAATATTTAGCTCTATCTGTGTTGAGTCAGAAGAAAAAATACTTAAAAGAATTAAAAAAAACTTAATATTATGGTTCATATTATAAAAAAATGATTTCATTGATTTTTGTTATTAATAAAATTGCTCATTTTACAAGGTAAAAATAGACTTTATGCAATTATCTCTATTGCACAACAATAATACGTGATGGTTTTATTTGAATTTTTTTAAATCAATAATGTTAACAACAGTGTGTAACACAAATAAAATCGAACCTGTTAGGTGTAGTGAGGGTAATAACAATTTTGTTCTGAGTCCCTTTAAACCTGTCTGAACTTGTTAGAGAGCCAAATTAATTTTTATTAAAAATAAGTAGCAATTTAGAAAGTGTTATATAGGTAATAAAAAATTTATATGCGTATGGTATAGAAAAAAAGATAAGAGTAATTAGAACTTACTTTAAGTTTATCTTCTACTTTTTGGCTAGCAGATTGACCTTGATGGTTATCTTCAATTCTTTTACGCATCTGTTCAAGCTCCTATAAATTGAATTTAGTAGTAAGTAAAATTTTGTTAACATAGTTAATAAGAATTGGTCAGTGATTTTATAATAAAATTTAGCAGGCCTCTTTAGCAACCTGTTTCTGTTTTAGTGATAAGGATTACATTATTTTACAAAAGATGTACCTTAGGATTATCACCAACAAGTGGATGAAAATTATGAATTCAAATGATACATTGAAATTATATGAGTACATTCACACACACACACACACAAAAAGAAAAATAATTATTTTAAGCAACAAACTTAACAGAGAAGGTTACTTTTTAATTCTTTTATTTATTCAAAGAATAATGCATCTTAAAAGCAATTGATAGGATAATTGCATCAAATACTTTTTCTTTTTAAACCAAAAATTTTTTAAACAAATAAATCAACAAAGTTAATAAACAATTCAAACGTATAAGGTAGATAAAACAAAGAGTTGCAATTTTAAAATAGAACAACCATTGGTTGCTATAATCAGTTAAAAGGAACAAAATTAGATGGTTATTAGCAAAGGAAGCAAATCGTGAATTTTGGAAGACAAAAGTATGTTTTATTAATTTAAGATTTGTCTTACCAAAATGGTAGTTCTGAGAAAATAATTTATTTAGAAATTCAAAAAAGCAGACTTTTTATTGGATCACATATTAACTGATTATTATAAAAAATAATAAAAAAATATATTTTACATTTGTAAAAACGTTTCTAGCTATATAACACCTAATATTCTATCATTTCAGTATCAGTATTAATGAATAATAAAAGAGAACAGGATGCGTAGCCAAATTTTTCAACAAAAAATAAGCACCTTTTAAGTACTTTTTAAGCACTCAAAAAATATTTTTAATCACTTTAAAAAAAAAAGAAAAAATCAAAATTAAAATCTGTGCAGTAATAACAATTATTTTTTTCCATCGTTTAAAGTTCTTAATTTATAAACATAAAATCAATAAAATTCAAAATTATTTTCAAAAACTTTACTTAATCATGATAAAATAAGCAGTTTCTGATAAATATTGCATAGAAAATTGTGAAATCATGAATTTTTTGTAAATTAGAAGGACAATCGACAAGGCAAAGAAAAAATCTCTTTTTAAAAGACAGAAAATTAAGCACTTTTTACAAACACCGAATAAAGAAAAACGTAAATCAAAAATAAGCATCTTTCAGCACTTTTTAAAAACGCTATGCACTCTGGAGAAAATAAGGAAAAAAAATATTTATTTCAACATTTAATAGTAATCTGCGTTTCCAATTAAAGCTAAAAAAGCTCTTTCAGAAGCATTATTTTCTCCTCTATACACAATTACATGATAGTGTTTTGTTACAATAGGAAATAATCAAATCACAATATGTAATTGTTTGAAGAACGATTGTAAGAAAAGTTAAACAACCTTAAGGGGATAAAGACAGCCATTTTGTAACCAGAAATTACCCAACATATTGCCCAAATTTAAAAAAAAAAACACCATTTTTATTAGCTTCTAATAGCCAAATTCTTTATTTACAAATATTTATCAATCTCAATATGTAAGCAGTATCCCCTTCTCTTCTCAATTTTCTTTAATTCTAATACACAAATAGTTGCTTATTTTCTGTCCAGAATTTTAGTTACATCATTACAAATTACAAAACGAAATCTTTACCACTGTTAAGAGAAATTTATCAGTATTCTTTATCATTGAATGAATGAAGTACAAAACGAATATATTAAATGTATTTTTTTCATATAATTCTTTTTTAATCTTAAATTGGTAAAATTAAGTTGTTCTCAACGCTTACATTATCCTTATTGTTCACTTGTTCTTCTAATGTTTCTTTTTTGTTCCGTAAAGTACCAATCTCCTTTCGTAATTCGGCTATTGCTTCAGGATTTCCATGACTTGCTTCTAATTCTAACACCTATTTAAAAACAAAGTAAGGAAATAAAATTTTTAATTTAGTTGTAAATATTTAAGCATTAAATTAAGCATTTACAAAATATATTGAAAATATAATACAACATTAAAGCTATTAAATTGATGCAATAAGTCAGTGAATAGTCTGCCTGCATAAACTTTTCAGTGGCTATCCAAAATATAGCTATTAACTTTTTTTTTAATTCATTTGAAATTTTACCTCAAATAAATAGGGCTATTAGTATAACAATATAATTGTTTTTATATTATTATAGGAAATGAACAGCAAAAAGAACTATAGTAATCACTTCTGATTTGAAATTAATACATAAACTAAAATCCACAAAAAGGTCTTGGATAAATAGGAAGAGGTTTAAAAGAAAATTCTCATCACTTCTTAAAAAGCTTAAAGTTATTATGAAGTGATAAAACTATTACTTTAAATTATTTTTACTTGAGTTTATTTGGATCATTTGTTTCAGATAGGTGTTCACTTTTTTCAACAACTTAACTAAAATTTATGTTTAGGACAACTAAGTATTTTTAGTAATTTTTGTTTAACAATGTATAATATGTGTATTGTAACAATTTGTTAACTATATGTTAAACTATTCTAAAATTGTATTCGTTAACACGTTTGTATTTGTTTGCTAATTAATAGATTAGGAGTAATTTTGTGCTTGAAAGTTTTAATCATTAAGAGTGCAGGTTTCTAAATACTAGGAAAATAATAATGCATACTTTGCATGGAAAGAATTATAAAATGAATCAATATGAATGTTTTAAAGTTATGGTTTCAGTTATGGTTTTTTCTAAACTGTAATTTATGGCTTTCCTACAGAAAAAAACGCTTTTTCTAATATTCAGTGAAATAGTGTGTAATAGAGGTGTCATGACTGCATATTGAAATTGTTAAGAATCATGTAAGACTATGACATTTAGTAAAAACGAAAAGCAAAATGTTCTATAATCCTAAACATTTGATCCACACTGTTATAAGCTGTTGATTAATCAGTATGTAATTCTCTCGCTTCATTGAGTTAAATCCAAAAATTTAAAAAATAAAAAACATATCAGTATATAAAATAATTAACTTTTTCATAGAGGTAATGTCTATTTTTTATATCTTTATGATGAACTAAGAAAAATATTAAAATATCATAACTCTAGTTCTTTAATATCTTCAGTTAAACACTGATCCTTATCTTGCAGAGCTGTGATTTTTCTGTAAAAAAATTATGAAACGAAATCTTACAGCTTGGATAAAGTTACTCAACAGAAATGAATAATGCATTTATGAAAATATTTAATAAAATATCAAATATCTTTCGAAACATTCCTAAAGCTCTCGAAAATATTTTTGTAGAAACATTTTATTTGTAGAAATATTGGCTCAGCAAATTCTTTAATAAAAAAAAACAAATAAAGAAATAAAAAAAACATGACTTAGGAAATTCAATTGATTTTTTTTGAATGTCAATTAAGGTTGGCTGATATAAGCCGAACGATATTTTTAAAGGATCATCCTTTTTTTTAAGTAAAAAATCTTTTAAATAATTTTCTGTAATAGATATAAATACCTTTTGAATTAGCAAATTTTCTTATAAAAATCTTTTCAGTTTTGAGTTTGAATAATAATTTGAATCCATGCTATTTTAAATAAACATAAATAGGTAATTTTCAGATGATTACGTATCACAACACTCTGAAAAATACGTAGTTATATATAAAATAAATTACTAAAGCAAATTTAAATTTAAGTTATGTCTCCATGTCATTATGCCACCATATTCTGATTGTTTTCATAAGTTAAATCATGGAATTATAAAACAAATTCAAATTTAAAGTTTATTTCTTTAAAAAATTTTGTTACAACAAATTACAAAATGCTTAACTACAGTAAAAAAGATTTATGGAAATTAAGTGCTATTCTGAATTTGATATTTTATTTTATTTTTAGAAATTTTTTATCAGTGTTAATTTTTTACACTATGCTTTAATTAATGTTTCTAATGTTTTCAAAATACAATGCCTTTATAAAAGAACATCTTAACAAACAATATCCAAAATTCATTTAAAGTATTACTAATGCTCATTATTTAACTTAATGCTGCATTATTTATAAGAATAATGTAATATTTAATGCTTTATTGTGCTTGAATAAATGATAAAAAAGTAATTAATCCTTTATAACTTTTAAATCCTTAGTACTAAAACATATCTATCTATTTATCTATCTATCTATCTAGTATTTATATATATATGCAGCCTATTTCGCATTTTAAGTCCTTATTTTTGGTAAAAAATTAAAACTATTAAGCTTTAGTTTTTTACTAGTAACACGTTCACTAAAACGCAGACTATAAACACCATGATGCAGTCAGTATATCACATAAACTTTTTCAATCAGTCTTTCACAGTAGTGAATAAGTATTGACTCAGATGGCTTGAAATCATGTGATGTGAAATTAAACTGATTTATTTTACCTCATGAGAAGATACTAGTACTACAAATAGATACTACAGATTACAAATAGATGTGGAAATGAATGTTAACCACTTATAAAAATAAAAAAGAATATGAAACCTAATATATAATTTTCAATCAGCATAATACTAAATTCAATGTAAGCGATATTTAAAATTTAATGTATGTATTAAGTAGAATTTGAAAATAATTTTAACTAGTAACATGTATAACATCATCCACATATTTCATCAATTGAGTTTTGTGTAGAAAACGATTCAAGTTGCTTGCAATGAATAAATAAATGCTTATAAATTATTTAATAATTTTTAAGGACTTTGTGATAATGAAATTCAAATCTTAAACTTAACTTTGAATTAATGAGCAAAAGAAAATAATAATTACATTTGTTATTTTTGTATCATAGTTATGATTTCAGTATTACAAAACACTGCTCTGACACAGGAAAAAAAAAAAACAAGAAATAACTGCAATTAATTGTTTCCCTTTTTTTAACAATTTAATAAAATAAAAAAAGTATATAATTATAAATCATTCATTTATTCATTGTTAAAGTTTATTCAAACTTTCAAATATAAAACAAAGCATATTTTAACTGAGAGTTCAAAAGTGATAAAACAAAAATTTATCCAAGCACACATAAATTTTTAAAAAATATATGTAACTGTTTAAAACATTTCTTTCTCAGTAAATGTTCAAAGTAATTATGTTTTTTTTCTCTTTTAGACAATTTGAATATAGAACACTGCATATTTCCTATCTCATGCTTTTACAAATTTTTCAAAATAACAATTTCTTGAATTTGATTTTGTTTAGGCAAACAAGAACAGGGTGCGTAGCCAAATCTTTGAATAAAAAATAAGCACTTTTTAAAAACTTTTCAAGCACTTTACAAAAATTTTCAAGCACTCAAAAAATTTATATTCAATCAATGATATTATTGAAAAACAAGAACTTTTTATAAACAGTTTTAGCGTTAAAAGAAACCCAAAAAGAAACGGGCTTAAATCGAAACAATCAGTACTTTCCCACATCACCGAGTGAATTCAACTTGACCCTGAACTCAGAACAAAAGTACCCTTACCCCCTAAGTCAAAAAAAGTGTTAGAAGTAAAATGAAATAAACAAGAACAAAATTAAAATAAATTAAAAAGAAAAACATTTCATAAGGATCTGATATTCTCTATCCGAATTGGAGCACTCGGGTTTCGGTTTCAAGTGTGCGCGCATGCGCAAGTCATAACGTGGGTACGACATGAAGTCCGCGTGAATGATTACGTAGCAAACTCCCCATTTTTCGTGAAATGCATGGGATCCACCAGATATCACTGAAGGGAAAAAAAATTACTCGAAAAAAAGCACTTTTTAAAAACGCCAGCTGGAAAAAGCACCTTTAAAAGCTTTTAAAAACGAAATCCCCAAAAAAGCACCTTTAAGTACTTTTTACAAACGCTACGCACCCTGAAGAATAAGAATTATATTTTATTTTGAAAATTAGAGGTAGAAGTGCTAAAGCAATTTTTGTTGTTGATTTTTTAAAAAAAATATTTATGATACATATGTATGAGGCATAAACAAAATTAAGAATTAATAATAGATCTTTGTTTTATAATTCTTTGCCAAATACAGGGTGTTTCATAATCACTGCTCTTAAGAGATATTTAAAAAATACTTACGAAAGTAAAATTAATAGAATAAAGAGTGCTAAATTACTATTTAAGTAGAGGGATTGAATACTATTGAAATCTGATGAATACCTAATTGAGATGAATCTTTGCAAAAGTTAAATTAAAATAATCAAAATCAGTTTATTTGTTGGATGCAACTGAAAAGCATTTATAGTAATTTCTATTGACACTTTTAGATGCTTTTTATTCTACATTTTCAGTGATTGAGCTTGATACTGTTTTATCAGGTATTGATGTATTTTTATTTTAGACCACTAATGTGCAGCTTAAATTACTTCACTTTTTAATAGCCCTCAAAAAATACATGTTTAATGGCTGTGATTGTGGAACATTACTGATATTAGCTTTGTAATACAGTTAAATAGGTACTAAAATCATGAATTAATTTCAAAACAAGGATGTAAATTAGATGTAAAAAAATATAAAAAAATTTACTCGGGATTTCATTTTGCTGTTTTCTTCTTTTAATGCTTGTAGTTGCCTTTTCCACTCTTCTACATTAGCAGTGCTTTCTTGAAGTGCTCCTGTTAAGCGAGCATTATTACTTTTTAATGTTTGTAGCTCCACTTCCCACTTCTTAGCATTGGCAGAACTATAATGAGGTAATTATGATAGATTAGTAAGGTATTTTATTAAACCAAAACCTATATGCAGGGTGTCCTCTTAGACTGATTATTTTCAAAAATTTATAAAAGGAAAACAGTTAAAATTAAAAATAAAGCATTTTTTGTAAAAAATAAATTCATGTAACAAGGCATAATCTATTTTGCTAAGGGTTCCAGGTTTTAATTCAAAATTTTAATGACAGATGGTGCTGCAGGTCCCTTCTACTATTTTTTCCCTTTCATTTTGATGAATAAAATTTCTATTCTTTATTATGAGATGTGATTATGAATGATGTCTGGCCTTTTGAAAATATAGCAAAATGATTTTAAGTTGTTTTTCTTCAATTTACACATTCACTTTTTCTGAAAAAGTAAATGTGTAATTCAATTGAAAATTTCTGAACTAAAAACAGGAACTCTGAAAAGAATGATTTATGCCCTGTAGCATGAATTTGCTGCAAGGATTCAATTTTCACCCTTAACAGTTTTTTTTTGCTATAAATTTTTAAAAACAGCAATCTTAATTTAGGACAATTTGTAAAAGTCATTTGATGTTTCCTTATTAAAATTTTTAACACAATAAAATAGATTAACTTTAAATAACAGTGATCATCAAAATTACACTTGTTATTTATCGAGAAAGAAAACCAGTTGTTTTTAAACTTAAATAATGCTCTTAAATTATTGTTATTTCATTAATGGAGAACCATTCATAGTAAGCATAACAGCTTCAAAACTATACTTTGTTACATTTTTAGAAACATTCTTCATCAGTACTAAAATCAGCAATAAATATTCAGTAAAAGTTTATAAGAATACATTGCATTTCATCCTATTAGTTCTTTATATTAATTGCGTTTTTAAGGTATCTCCATTGCTACTTAATTTTTTTTTTTAGTGGTATTTACAGATAAATTTTATTGAGAGATCTACTGGTAGCTTTCTTTATAAGTGAGGAAATTTCCAGGAGAGTATCAGAGCTATTATACTAAGTTTATAAGGATGCATGCAAAAAGAAAAAAAAAACAGTAAGAAAGGCTTTTCGTCAAAATATTTTACTTGCGTGTTTCGCACAAAAATTCTTCATGTTATTTTAATATACTCTTCAAATATATTTCCCGTTTTCAATATTAATTCCTTTTCCTTTTTCTTTATTTTACAAAGCTTTTGAAGCAATTCTAATTAATATTTAACTCATTTAGAGATTACTTCGTTTTACCTTTTAAATTGCTAAATCTGTAATTGAGTTATTGAAGAAAATTTTTTTAGTAATCTAACTGAGAAAATTCTTTAAATGCAGTTCTGAGTCCCAGATAGCAAGCTGAGAATAGACTCACTGTTCGTATATTTTTAATGAGACACTGGCTCATTACAAAATTTTATTAATTTCCATGACTGTAAATTGGTTACATTAAAAAAGCAGAAATTTAAATCAAAACTCCCTTTTTTAAAACAAAATTGTAGTGTTTGTTTAAAAATATTAAAATAGTGACATAAAATTGTTTAAAAATACATTAAAATAGTGATATAAAAATTATTTAAAAAATGCATCAAAATAGTAATGTCTGAAAATATTTTGAAATTTTAAAACATTTCCAATTTAAAAATATGCGATTATGAAAAATTGGTAAAAATTTTTCTGGGTAATTATTTTTCTTTTATAAATAATTACGAAAAAAATTATTAATTTGCTTAAAACTTACCTTTGAGCAAGGGCTAATTTGAGGCGATCATTTTCATATCTAAGTTGAGCTTCAACTGTTGACTGTGGTAAACTAGCAACTGATGTTTTGTCCTTTGTTTGATGCTTAGGGCTGTCAGTTGCCTAAAAATTAGTAAAAATACAAGATATAAGAATCCTTTTCAAAATTTCCTAACATGAGCTTTTCAACAGTTCACAGCTTGTGCAAATGTCAAAACAATAAAAATCTTTTTTATATTAACATATAGTATATGAAAATATAATAAAATAAAAAGAGTTATTTCAATACTGATTGACAGGAATTAAAAATGTACAGAATTTAAGAACAATACAGAATTAAACAATGGTAAATAAATTTACTACAGGTAAAAAAGTCATTTTGTATTTAAGTTCTAACTATATTTATTAGTAAGTGGAAATTAATATTTATTCTTAAAATTTGTAATGTTTGACAAACCATATTTTGTATGAATATTTTTGTTCTCTCTAAACATAAATTTTTATTGGAGTCATTAATTCCGATAATTTTAAATATATAAAGAGGTAAAAGAATGATTTCAAACGTATTTAGAAGAAATTCGTAAAAGAAGATTTTAATTGTAAAATTGTGAGGTTTTATACTTAAAATTTTGCACACATTATGGTAAGAGTTGAATGCATAGAAATAAATTTTTTTCTGCTAGCTAGATTATATTAAATACAAAGGTTTTATAATGGGAAAATGTATTCCATTAACATCTTCCTACTGTTGTTACATTTCCACAAGCAACATTCTTATACGAAACTCTTTGTAAATGATATTTCTGACATAATGATATAACAGGTATTTTTTTAAAGGATTCAATAAAATAAACATTTAAAAATATAATTCGCAGATAATATTCTAATTGTTGCTCCAGTTTATTTAATAAACAGATTACATATTTTAAACTGAATATAAATAACAATGGAAAATGTTCCAGGTGTATGCTCAAACTCCAATACCTAGTAACATGACAAATGAATTAAGATAAGAAAATATGTTTTCTTTTTCTTTAACCCTCCAGAAATTGTCTATTTCTTTTAATTCTTACAACTGGATTCCATTTTTCCTTGTCTACCAATATTTAATGCATTAGTAAACATTCTTTAAAAATCAAAATTGAATAAAAATAACATTTAAAAACGAACATTTTAATTTAAATGGCTGTCTCTTTATATAATGTAAGAAAAAACTATGACTTTGCCCGCTGTATAAAAAGAATAATCTCAATTACAACAAAACGAAAGTTACAAAATGCCAATAAGAGGTCGGGATAGCCTGGTCGGTAGGGCACTGGGCCCATGTCCAAGAATTTGTGGCTCGATCCCCACCGGCTGAAGACTCCCCGTGTAGTAAATGGTGACTGACGCACGTTAAATCTGTCAAGTAGCAAAGTCCTCCATGTTCCCGTACCAAATCAATACCGCTGGGGGTACTGATCCACGAGTTTCCTTGTCTTCTGGATTGGTTCAACATTACAAGGTTACGGAGTTGAACATTAGTAGTCTAAAACCCAAAAAATGGGTCGGCAGTTCCAATAAGAGCTGCGGTGGCTCAGGTGATAGAGTGTTCACTTTCCAATGAGATGAACTGGGTTCAAATCTCAGCGATAGCTGGTCGATACGAATTCTGCATTTCACACTGACCACAGTGCTGACATAAAATATCCTCAGTGGTAGACGGATCAAGGGTTAGAGTCCCCTTGCTGCCAGGCTAACTGTGCGAGGTTTTCATCTCCGTGTAACGCAAATGCAGGTTAGTTCAAACAAAAAGTCCTTCACAAAGGCAAATTCCACCCAATACTTGATCCAGGAGTTTACTTGTCTTCTGGATTGGGTTCAAAATTACAAGGCTACGGTGCTGAACATTGGTAGTCATAAACCCAAAATTGGGTCGGCTGTTCAACGCCGATTATAAAATAAAATAAAATGCCAATAAATAAATAAATGCATTTAAAATTTACACTGATGTTCTCCATTTTCCTGAGACTTTTCAATACTTTATGAGTATAAAATAATTATGTTTAGTTAATTCAGGTTAAAGAAGCTGGATAAATTAAAGACAAAAGAACGGACTTACAATGCTGTGAGCAAATATATATTGCAACCAGCAATTGTTACAGTTTCAACTTAATAACTAGTTCCTTTCTGTGCCAGTCCAAAGAGCATTTGCATATGTTAATCAACTGTATTTGAATGAGTTGTTCACTGTGCGAAGTCAATGATAAGAGGCAAATATAATTAGTTGGGATGCTATTTAATTTTGAAATATAAGTAAATAAACTAGTAATTGAACATCAACAAATAACTTATTCCTGTACCAAAGTGTCCAAAAAGGATTAAAAATTGCATGATAAAAATTAAATTGCTTAAGATATTCACTTTGAAAAAAAAAGAAAAAAAAAAGACTTGAATGTTTGCTTTAAAATTAAACAGGTTTCTTGTTTTGTTCATATACTTTTATTTATACAGGGTGCTTGCATTTAGGGTAACAAATTAATTTAAGCGGGGAAAATATAAATGCTATCGAAATCTGGCAAATCTCAATTTAGGAAAGTGGGTGTATAGAACATCAAAACTGATTTAATGGCAGGTTGAACTTAAAGGTGTTTCTAATAACAATGTCAAAGCTTTGTCTTTTGTCTCCTCTCAGTTTCTTCATCCAATCAAACAGGTTTTCTTGCTTCATACATTTGCCTTCCTCAATAGTGATTTGTCCGATTTTGACAGTGTATTTGATTTTTCTTTTTATATATTAATTTGTGATGAGTTACTTTTTTGTCTTTATTTTTCATAAGGATTCTAAAAATATAGATGAAGAGTGGTCTTCACACGGAACACTATGTGTAAAACTAGTCTAAGGCATAAATTTCTCTAATTTCCAAATCCAGTTTTTTTTTTCTTCTAAAATTTCAGTTTTCTGTTATGCAAGTTGATATGTATGAGAATCAGAAAGTAATACATAAAAACAATAAAAAGAAAATTAAGTTTGAATAAAAGAAAATCTTAATAAATTCATAGCTTTATTAAATTTAATAATAGACAATGAATGTCAAAATACATTTTCATTTTGACAGTCAATGTAAACACTTATACAGATGGAAAGGCATACAAAAACTGTCCACAGTTTGTTTCTGTTTGCATTATAATGTTATAAGTTTATTTAAAATTTAAAAAAAAAAAAAAAATTACTTTTAAAAGATTATGTATTTTTTCATGGTCGTCGTTGTTACTTGGGGAAGGGGCGGAGCTGGGGAGATGAGTATATGTCCGCCTCAATAATAAGAAATCTTTAAAAGACCCCCTAAATATTTCAAACAATCAAGTAAACATTTCATGAATTATCATCGATTTAAACTTAACCAATTAAAAGCAAATAAAAATATTAAATAAATTAATCATTTTTCGAATCTTCAGCAGATGGAAGAAAATTCCTTTAATTTTTTTTATTTATGCCTGAAACTTAGAGAATTATTTTAATCGTGTATTTAAACTTTGCCCTCCCCCCCCCCCAAAAAAAATGGGGTATTTGCGACACCCGAGAAATTTCCTCTCACTCAAAATTTCTTAAAATTTTCCTAACCGCTAATTTTCTTGTTTTATATTTTTTCTTTAATAACTCAAACCACAGATTTTAATCATTTGGTTTCAATTATTGACACCCTGATTAGAATATTTGATGTATCTATTCCTCTCACTACAAATAGGCTAATTTTAAGGAGATAAAATCATATAAATACTACGTTTCCTGATACCATTTTTGATTTTGACATCTAATAAAACACCTGAAAAACATACCTGAAAAATCAAGATGCGTCTGATGTAGGTTTGATATAAAATTAAAATAATAAATTGCTCAAATCCTAACATTTCGCTAAAATTTTAAAATAATACTAGACGAAATAACTTTCGTTTAGATTATTTCATTTTAAGAAAACAATACATCATAGAAAATCAATATCTTGTTTGTATCGTAAATTTTCTAACAAATAATAAAATCGCAGAATTTTTCAACTGGAAACAAGAAAGTTAACAACATCAAGACAAAAAAAAAAAAACTATTATTGAAAGCTCTAACAAAGTATACCTCCAGATATCTTCTACATTCTATATAGCATACATAATATATCAGGATCAGACTATAAAATAGTTAGAAACAGTATGCTAAAAATTCGTTTCAGCGAAGTCAAAAAGGAAATAATCTAAGCAGATCTAGAGAAATTTCTTCTAGGAAAAATCTAAATCAAGCATACAAGTAGCCAGAAGGAGGAATAAAATTTTATCTATGCATACATAATAAATCAAAGGGGTGTATTCTGTTTCGATCAAAGCAATGAATAACAAGTCCGTTTTGAAACAAAGGCTGTACAGAAATGCTGCACTTCCTGATTTTTGTTTAAGTACCTAAGCGTGCATAAAAAGAATTGAAATATTTAGAATAAGTATGTTTCATTTTGTATGATTAAAAAATTTAATAATTTGTGATTAGTAAAATTATTTTGTACTGTAACTGTACTATATTATTTTGAACTGTAACTGTATACAATAGAACCTCAATTATCCAACATATTCGAGAGATGTCAACTATTTAAGAAGGGTTTTAAATTATCAAAAATTTATCCTAAAAATTGAATATAGGAAATGAGCTCGTAATAAATATTTATAAAGGTATAAGGCTAACGCTAATTTATTCAGTTACAAACGTAATTTTCAATTTATTTCAGTAAGATATTTTTACTAACTAATGACCTATTTTTTTCTTCTCTTTTCATTAACAGCATAAGATATAAATCCAACATATACATCAAGCTAAAAAAATATAAATTCTGGTAAAATTACCGTACTGCATGGTAATAACATTTCTGGTTAAAAAAACAACAACATAATTCTGGTTAATAAAATCAAAATATACGGTATTTAAACCATTCATTTGGTAATTTTTTCGTTTATCTGGTAACGGTTTTCTGGAAAATCTGGTTTTTAAAATTATAGTTCTTATTACCACGCATTTAGTAAAAAATACAAAACTGAAAAGTAAATTTAACTGAATAAATGGTTCTTATGCTATGCTCTAAAGTATCATGATAGAATTGCCAAATTTT